GGAAAAACCGCTGTCGAGGGCTTTATCCTCAGCGTGGCTTCTGTAGCGGGAAGGTTTGAAGGGGGGTATCTCTGTCTTTTTGTGTAGGAAAAAATTGAAAAGCACTTCGAAGTACATTTATCAGACTCTGTTTTTGAATGGGGAGAACAGCGACATCAAAATCTGTGCTCTGGGAGAAGAGTGGAATTTGCATAAGATATATTTGCGTCAGGTAAGCTGCTGCTTTCCGACTCGCAAGAGAAGCTATTTTTAATAAACGAATATCTGGTGAACGTTAAGTGTGACTTGAGATTTTTTTCACATCTCTTGTTTTCCACTGATATTTCTGACTTACCACTCCTCCCGTGGGTGTAAACAGTTAAACAACTTGTGTTATGCTTTTGATAGTAATGTTAGGCAGCATAGCTGTAGCTTTGTGTTTGAAAAGCTTCTTCGCTTCTGTCTCTGGCTGTTTATAATTTTTTTCATCTACTCATCTTAACCTTGGTGCATCCTTTGTGAAAACAGTCCTGAAAGTTGTCTTTTGATGTCCTGAGAACATGTTCTTGTTTGCTAAACAAATGGCTGAGAGTCTCCTACGATGTTAGGATTATTGCAGGGCACAGAAAGCCCTTCCAGACTGGATTTGTAAAGCACGTGCTAGCCCGGTTCGATTTTACTGTTCACTGGGACTCGAGTGTAGGAACCTGAAGTGAAATTGCTGGAGCTGGGTCTCCGTGTTTGTTGTGCAGCCTTCATCCTTGGGTGAAGGCTTTCTTGCTGCTGCTGCACGAGGAAGGTACGCACAGAAGCTCTAAAAAGGAATACGTTTTAGCATGTACCTGCAAAAAAAAGATGCAGTTTCTACAAGCATTTTGTTCGGGGCTTGTAATAAAGTGAAGTTCTTTGTGTTACCTTATGTGTTTTGGGAGTAAAGAGGTACTGTTAACTTTACTGTCTGCCTTATTACTTTTCCTGTGACAGAAGTGGGGAGAAGCCGTGGCTTTGTCTTGAAACGTCTAATTCAGTTGTGCTGTTAGCTTTGAAGTGGGAGCCTGACCTTGGGAGAAATTTCAGCTACTATACCTGAAAACATGTGTGTTTACTTGTTAGCTGTAGTCGAACGCAGGGCAGCTCCGTGCGTTAGGAGGTGAGGGTATCACTGTGAGACGCTCGGCAGGTTGAGTGCAGTTTCTCTGGTGTAACAAGTGATGGCAGAAGCATATTTTTGATTTTTTGTTGTGTTAATGCTATGAATCGAGTGGAGGTACAGCAATTACTTGCGTTGGCCATACGGAGGGAGATTTCATTGCTTTCTGGTAGGAAAAAAAGCCTTTTATTTTACATGTGTTGGAACTTTTCAAAGAGCCTAAAATGAGGGCAGGGAAGTCATTTGTGTTCAGCCCAAGATCAACCAGTGCCAGCCATCTCTGCATACAACAGAGGGTGTGTTTGACCAGAGAGGACAGCTGGCAGACACAGCTTTAATTGTTCGCTGGCTTTTAATTCTGTGTAACAAAGGGAGGATGTGAGCGGGTTGGACAGTCAGGCTTCGGGTTGTGCCACGTAAACAGGGTGGACGCATTGCTGGTTTCGTCCTTAGGCTGTTGTGGGCGATGATGGTTTTAGTCGTCATCGTGATTCTGTTGTGGCTGCTGCGTCTCAAGTTCCTCAAGCTAGTCCTTAAGACTTAGTGTGAGTTGGTGACTAAAAGTATTAAATTGTTTCCGTGGATGCTTTGAACAGACTTTGAAAATTGTGATTTTGTTCTGTAAAGACCCTGTGCAAGTGATGTTCTTGTGAGATGGAATTTTATGGTTAAGTTAGCCGTTCTCATAAGCCACGTTTCTATTTAAATTCATGCTTTGTCATTGGAATTATGCTACTTTAGGTAAAATATTTTTGAATGTTAAAAATAGCTCTCTGCCTTGACGAAATTGACTCCTGCTCTGCTTCGTTGAGCAGACTATCTCAGTCTGAATGTTCCTGTTTCCCCCATCCCTCAAGTTACTGCATTTGGTTTGATAAATGACAGTAAGGTGCTGCTCTACATGTGAGTGGTACATGTGGGAAATGGAGGATTTCCTGCTTCTGATACTGTTTATTAAAATGGTAAATTCTCATGAAACTATGGATTTGATCTACGTGGCATAGCTAAGGCAGCCTCGTGAGGACTGGTAAAGTGGGTAAGTTCCTGGTTTTGGAGGTAGTGCGTTCTGTGTCACCATAGCTAGGGGATGTGCTGAAGGTCGAGGAATATTTACCTAATCAAACAAAATCAAAATTAGATTTTATGTTATTGGCTGCCCTGAGTTGAAATGCTGAGTGAAGAGGTCAGGGAATGCAGTGCTGTACAAATAGACTTTATTTTTTTGATCTCTCAGGTAAACTTCAGTGAGTGATAGCATCTCATAATGGGCACTTCTGCTGCTGAGAAGGAAAATCATAGAGCAGTGTATTTCACTTCATTTGGATGGAAACCTATCAAATTCTAGTTTTATATGCCTTACACTTTATAATAAAAGGTATATTTACATAAGTGGTGTATGTGTATGTGTCCTTGGTATGAGACTACAACCTTGTACATTGATATGTATGTCTTGCATGCTTCCTCCCCCCTCCCCAGTACCCAAACTGGCATTCCCTAATGCCTGCAGGATTCGTTATCCGCTGATAACATTAAGGACTTAATTCTTGGACTAATTATCTCCCCGTTGGTGGTGTGGTTTGCAGGAGAAGAGCTTATGTGGCTTTTCTGGCCTTTTAAAGCTCTTTACTTACTCTAATTACAGACATGTAATCCAAATTTTCTGTACGCATTTTCACTTTCAGAAATAGAGCAAATACAATTAGCCCTTTCTCAACTATGTCAGAATGTTTTAGCTTGTTGACAGCTCCCTAAATACATTTTGTTCTGCATAAAGGTAAATATTAACATTTTGATTTCGTTCCATGTGCTGCTTTGAACAGTTTTAGTTTGAATGAAATCTCTTACTTGAGTTCTTTTTCTCTCATCTTCCCTCATATAGTCAGGCTACTTTTCCAGTATGTTCAGTGGATCTTGGAAAGAATCTAGCATGAACATCATAGAGTTGGAGATTCCTGACCAAAACATTGATATAGAAGGTAGGTGGGAACCTGTTATTTTAACAGAAACTCTGAAGGTACAGGCTAAGTTGAACCTGACAAAAAAATAACTAAAAATACATACATGTATGTTTTTAAGAATAAATTTTCAAGCTAGTAAATAAGAAACGTGAGAGAATGGGTTCTGTACTCATTCAGTTTTGAGCTTAACTCGGGTCACCAGCGGAGTTGAATTCATTTCTGAGTTGGGAAGCGCAGCTGAAAAGCAGCCGCTTGTCTCAGTGTTTCGGTATCGGGGCTCCCAGGATCGATGCACGCGACTCTTGTGGAGACCCACGTGCTAGAGTGTGAATCACGTCTTCATCTGTCTGGTCTTGAAAAGCTCCCGAGTGGAGTGCTTGCAGGGGACCGATGTCAGCTGGCAGAACGTTTTGCTACGGTTCCAGGCACCGCGGGGTGAGGAAGTAGTGTTCTTCAGAACAACTGCAGAGTAACTTGTAATGTCATAGTAATATCTCAACGTTATGCTAGTGAGCGATCACAGAGAAGGATCATGAGAATCATAATTTTATCTAGTTTTACTGCTCTCCACATTGCTCCCTGGTGTGACTTGGTGGCTCTTGTAAGATGAATGTTTTGTTTAAATAGTGAAAAGGACTGTATTTGAATGGTAAATTCCATGATTTGTGTTTTCTGCTTATGCATGTGCTTGGGCTGGTAAATAGTAGACTTTCATCCAGAGCAAATAAGGTTGTAGGAAATGTGTGCGCTCAAGTGGTTTGGTTGTATTGAAATTCTTTTAGTTATCCGCGCTCCATGTCCTGTCTTTGTTTGACACTTGTACTCTTTCCAGCTCTACAGGTGGCTTTTGGCTCGCTGTATAGAGATGATGTGTTAATAAAACCCAGCCGAGTAGTTGCACTTTTAGCAGCAGCCTGCATGCTCCAGCTTGTAAGTAATAAACATGCAATATTTTAGTGCTTTCTCTTCAGATAAAGATAACAGTTCGTAATACTCACATGCGTGTACTGTTTCGTCCAGAGAAATGAATCATCTTTTCCAACTAAGTGGGGGAAAAACCCAAACATAATGCAGTGGTTTTATTTAAAAATGCAATGACTAAGATTCAGTTGTAATATTAAGTGCCGCTTTGAGAATCGTATCTAGAAGCAGATTAAAATATGTTTTAATAGCTCATTTGTTCTACCCTGAAGGTATTCATTAAGCTTTTCTTTCACATGATATATTCCTAAGCAAAAATCTGTTTTTCGGAGCAACACTGATTTAAATGGTCAGGATGGCTTAGCATAGGTCGCTGTAGCACGTGTGACTTGGGTAATTGTTCAGGCATGAAAATTTGCATGAACTGCCCAATCTTTGACACTTCCTGTTGGGAAATTAAAACTTTGGATATTTGTGGGTTTTGTTCCTCCCCACAGGATGGCTTAATCCAGCAATGTGGTGAAACAATGAAGGAAACCATTAATGCAAGAACTGTGTGTGGTTATTATAATTCAGCGGGGACGTATGGGTTAGACTCTGTGAAGAAAAAGTAAGGATTGCTTTCTCCAAGCTGCTTTGTACATTGCTAATTAGAAGTGTGAATTTACAAGCAGTAAAATAATGCCCAAATTTTTTTGTGGGTTTTGTTTGTTTGTTTGAAGTTATATGACTTGGGCTCTGCCTGTCCTACTTCGTTTTCGAGTTTCTACTATAATCAGTTACTTTAAAATAGATGTAGATTGATTGGCCTGTGCTGTGAGTGAAAATGAATTACTAAAGCGTATTAATGAAGACAATATGTTTGGTCTTCAGCGTGACAATAAAATAAGACTTGTGATCATTGACTGTTTTATCGCAAAGCTGCTTTAATATTCAGAACTTCAGCTAAACTTTATCGTAATTAAGAGGGATAATTACATGTTTGGGAGCAGAATGCTGAGGTTAGTGTGAACAGCTTCCTTCTGCTGTGAATTAGTGTGTTCTCAGAGCTTTTCGTGGCATTAGTAGTGCTTTGAATTTAGCTTTCATTGTACCCTGAGAGAAACTAAATGCAAATTTGTTTCAGAAAATTTTGGAAAATGCTATGGTAAACTTCATGTTTTTGAAAGAAGTTTTTCATCATTTTATGCATTCATGTCTCGGGTTAAAGCAGTATTTCAAAATCATGTGGTACATAGTCAGGTTTTGTGAGCCTGAGCAACTGTTGTAGGCATGTTGACGTATATAAGAAAAAAATGAAGGTACTAATTCCTTGCTTTTAATCTAGGTGCCTTGAATGGCTCTTGAATAACCTGATGACTCACCAGAGTGTTGAGCTCTTCAAAGAACTCAGGTACAGGCTTCAGTTAACGCTGAGTGATGAAGTACAATTTCTTCCAAAGTCTATAGCTCACTACGAATGACTTTCTGGGCTGTTGATGGTTGCTTGTTACCTTGCTTGCTGTCTTGTTTTTGTCTATACTGTCTCATAGAACTCTTAACGGTGTTTTTTTTTTCCCCCAGCATAAACCTCATGAAACAGCTGATTAGCTCTTCAAACCTATTTGTAATGCAAGTGGAAATGGACGTGTACACTGCTCTCAAAAAGGTACTTAGCGAAGGGCCTGGCTGGGGCTTTAGGAAGGTGGACTCCTGAGTAGTAGTTGATTTGTAAGGCGAGGAGAGTTGTAGCCTTTTTGGTGTTTACTGAAAGTATTTAATAGAGTGTCAGAGTCTTTGTAGGAACGAATGCATTATGGAAATGTTCCTTTAATAAAGCATGTATTACTAGTTTGAAAACTTCTTCAGTTAACTCACCAGAGTGTGTTTGTTTTACCTAGTGGATGTTTCTTCAGCTAGTGCCTTCTTGGAAAGGGTCTTTGAAACAACTCTTAACCGAAGCTGATGCCTGGTTTGCCAAGCGTAGGAAAGGTAGGATTAATTGGCGTGGCCTCAGGTTGGGGAAGGTGTGGGTTAGAAGTAAAATAAGATAGTCTCCCTCCTCTTCCAAACTCTCTCCCGTTTTCTCTGGGAAGGCTTGTGTCTGCCAGCAGTCCCCAGCGTCAGATTCTCAACACTGACAGCTTTTTCACTCTTTCGTCCACGTGTTTTCAAGTGAGCACATAGCTTTTTCACCGTTTTGTCCGCATGTTTTCAAGTGAGCAGACATGGTTGCTGTTTTTGCTTTGTTGCTTTTTCCATTGTTCACTTAGGATAAGCTTTTGTTGCCTTCTCACTAGAAGGCACTAGTGTGTTTCAGAAGAGGAAAAGTTTGGTCTAACGTTTCTGCTGAAAGGATTTGAATGTAAGGGGTTTCTTTATTTTAGCTGCAAAAGATGGTTTGCCTGTCTGTAATAACTTTCTCTGAGCAACACGGTACAACTCAATCTCAACTATAGATAGGGTCTGGGAAACATTCAGGAGAACCAGTTGTAATACAGGTGCTCTGCCTTGCAGATTTTGAGGATGACATTGCGTTCCTGGAATCAGAACAGGGGAACGCGTTCCTGTCGGTGTTCACACACTTGAGATTACAGTACATCATCAGTGACTTGGCATCAGCCAGAATTATTGAGAGAGATTCCCTCATACCCTCAGGTGAGTGAGTACTCAGCTGATCAGGTTTTGTGTGCCTTTCCTAGCCTGTCCTGCACTAGAGTAATTGGGAAGATCTGGGTGCATTTACTTGTCTTGTCGCTTATGTGTTTATCTCCAGTGTCTGAATTGTGGCTGAAGATTCAGCAGAAGTTGAATATTAAATTTACATGCATAAAAGTCTTAATAGGCACGCACGTAGGTGGGTTAAGCATTTTGTTGATCAGTCAGTTTATCAAAATACTTTGTAGTGTTTAAGTGACTCCAGAGCCCCAGGCATGCAAAAAACTTTTTCTCTTTAAGAGAGCAAAACTTGCTGTGACTCAGCTGTTTTCTAGCTATTATCTTTTTAGAAAGAGCTGGGTAGTTTTTGATAGGATTTGGGATAATACCTGAAAATGAAAACCAAAAGCACAAGATCCTGTGAACTCTGCTCCCATCTTTAAAGACAAGTCTTATTTACGGACAGATATTTATGATGTTTTTGGAGGAGACAGGATATTTACCTATTCCGCTCTTGTTCTTTTATTTCCATTTTGTATAAAATACATCCTCGTTGTAGGTCCTGGTGCTTTTTGAAGCCCGTAGAGTGAAATGTCATTTAATGTTGTTACGGATTACCACTATTAACATTGCATTATCACTGAAAAGTAAAAAGCCCCATTCTCACCTGGCTGCTGAGAGAGGAGTAAGACTGGAAATGAGTTACCAAGTTGGGCTCTCACTTGAAAATGTTTTTTCACTATCGTTCACATCTTTTATCATGTGAAACACCTGCCCCTCCTTCTTTTTCCCTTTATGATTTTAATTTATTTTTATTTTTCCCCTCCCCAGAGTTAGTTGTGCTCCTTGTTAACAGTGTTTGGACTTCTCATGGTGTGCCTTTGAATTTGGCTCCTGGTATCCATATTTCACTCTGTTCAGTGTTCCAGTATCGTAGCTGAATCTTAGCATTGCATTTTGCATCTTAAATCTGACAGGTTTTTTTTTCCTTAGCTCTCACGTACACAGCTTTGATTTAATTTTTTTTAGATCTGTTCACAGTGTAACTATCCATTCAGCTGTGTCTCTGTGATGTCTCTTTATAGGTGTAATTGCCAAATGTCAATTAAGACTGCTTTTATTGAGCTGTTGATCACTCTTATTTGTAACTTCTTGACATCAGTGTTCTTGTCATCTGTCCATACTTGTAGCCTTGGGGGTCGCTTTGGACTCTTGCTATGTGTAAATATTTAACCTGTCTTTGATTTACACTGCTGTCTTCCTGTAAAATTATTTTTTTCATCTCATATTGATTTTTCCCTTCATGCCACCATAGATGTCAAGACAGCGATGATACAATGCCAAAACAGACTTGTCAGGATATTGCTTTGGAAGCCTGCTAGCCGAATCAAATCATTAGATGCCTTTAAAACCCTTTCCTTGGCGTTAAGATGATGTAGTGAGCATCGCTTTACTCAGTTTGTCTGTCTTGTGCTGCTGTATCCTGTCTTTGCCAGAAATAAGGGTTTAGTTGCTCTTTGTAGCTGAAGGTCTGAATAACTTTGGGCACCTCTTCCTCACGCTTGGAGACGTTTGAAGTCCAAAGCTGAGTTACGACTCTGTGGTAGGGGATACTGGTGGGGAGGGTGTAGGGTCTTTTCCTCGATAGAAATCTTTCAGTCTCTTGAGTGAAAGTGGACAACTACTACTGCTTAAATGTACTGGATCTCCCTGCTCCCGGTTCTGGTTTAGAAGAGTACCTTAGATGGGGAAGGGGCCGTCTTCGGCGCTAATCCTGACAAAGGGCGATAGGAAGGAGCTCGGTTACCCTCTGCCCCAGACGTGTGGTGAGAAGTGGTGCTGGAACAGCAGGTGGAGGCAGCACCTCAGGCCCGGGCTGCTGCGCCGAGCGCGGGTGGGGCTGGGTGAATGGCTCGGTTGGCTGTGGCCGGTAGATGGGGCAGTTTGTGACCTCCAGCAAGCGATAACATTTCACGTTATGCAGAAAAATCCCGGAAGAACAGACCTGATCTTTCATATGTGTGATTTCATATGCTTAGGTGATGTATAAAGTAAATATGATCCATTTTACTGAAGGTTGATATTGGCACAGATTATAATCAAAGTGCAAAGGTGTCTTCATTGTGTAATAATAAAATGAGATACCTTTAGCTGAATGACCCTGTAGATCCTTAATTTAATGATGACTCAGGAGAGCTGTGGATTATTTCCTTGTGGAATGCCTTTGTCAGCATGTGATTAGGACCTTGCAAAGCAGAAACTTGCCAGTACTAGGCTTGATTTCGTTTTCTGAATGTTTCTGTTGTTACCACTTACCAGAACTGTGATGGACAGCCTTTCCTTGGTGTCCTTCAGTGGATAAATTTTGTGTCTATACCCAAACACAGAAGCCTTCTGTCTGTGTACATCAGAGGAAGCATGTTTCTTAGTTACAAGATTAATTGCAACTTTGAGGCTGATTTGCTTGTGCTTATTGAAAAATAGTGTGTAATTTTCACATCGTTCACAAGGTATTAGAGCGCAAAGTGTTTACTCTTTCATAGTTCAACAGCTCATAGGCTGTGATAAATGGCTCGGCCGCTTTGTAGTGCACAGTGGGAAAGGCAGTGCGATGCCAGTGAGTGTGTGGGTAGTGCACGAGGAGTATCTGATGTTTACACTCTGATGATTAATTAAAAAAAAAAGCTTGACTTCCAAGAGAACTGGGAGAGTGGGGAGGGAAGAAGAGGATAATGTGGAGACCTCCGTGTGCGTGATGAAGTGCTGTTAGAGTTTAATACTTGATAGCCCTTGTAATCTGTTGATAGCAGTTTGTAGCCAAAAGCTGTGTTAAGATCACGAACTTTTGCTCGTCGTTGAACAGATGAAAAGATGAATATTGGTGGTGCGCTTTCAAACAGGTTATTGGCTGCCAGCATCCAGTACTTGAGGGGGCTGCATTGTACCTGAGAGAGTCTGCAAACGTGGAAATTGCTGGGTAGAGTGTATTACAGTGTAAGCCTTTTGGATTATTGTAGATGAAATTGTTCTCAAGGAGGTAAAGAAGGAAATCAGGTTGAGTAGTTGAAAGAAATGATGCAGTATTGTTTGGGGGTTTTTTTGATCCCCTGTATGTGCGTAGGACCTGCAGGAGCAAACTGAAACGCTGCGTTAGGAGTTACTGTGTTAGGAGCTCACAACAGAGTCTGTTCTTGTTTGCATAGAAAAGATGTAAGAGCAGTACAGAATGTGTCTGTCTGTAAGTAAAGTGTCCCTTGTTCTGTTTTACCTGGTAACTTCTGAACATTTCCTGAACAGTATTTTCCCTCTTAATGTTTACAAATTAACAGATGAACTGCAGTTGAAATATGATATGAATTAGATATGTGCATATACAAAAATAGAGAAGATGCGTGATCTCCTGATTATTTTTTTTCCCCTCCTAGCACATCCATTCTCTGTTCCTTACCTGTGTAGTTTTCCTTAAATCATTTTTATACTTCCTGTTGTACTTCGGTGAATTCCCATTTTTGGTCCTATTGCAGTCTGAATCTTAACTCTAGAGCTCAGCAGGGCAAGGGCTGGTTTTAATTTTGACATCTGGGACTTCTGAGGCGATCTCAGCGTTATGATCTCACTTCTCCCTTCTATCATCTTCATCAGCTACCTGTTTTGTTTTTGTGGTGATGGGGGTTCTTACTGTTCCTCTCATTCCAGTCCATTCCTCCACAGAGTTTGTTCTCATACGTGACCTTGCATACTTGCCCCTGTTTGTTATCTTGCCTACGAAGAACTTACATACCGTGCTTTGGGTGCCTGTGATCCCTTTTGTGTAGCAGGCTTACAAGCTATTAGTTCTGTTTTGTCTCTTGGTTGCAACTGTTTAATTAATACGACCGATAAAATCTTTTTGGTGTTCTCAGAGGAAGACATGATTTATGTTCATTCCTAGCAGGGGACAATTTCTATTTGTTTTTACCATATCCGCGATAAGTCGCTGTTTCCTGTATCCTTCGAATCTGTTTTCATCTTGTTTAACTTGTGTAGAGTTCTGTTGGGGATTCGGAAAACAGCATCTTCTCCCGAGAGCTTGTTAACGAGCTCCTTGGCTTAACAGAGCTTTGCGCACGGAGAAGATGCCTTGAGTTGCATCACTGCTGGCAATCGTGAGTGCTTGATAAGACGAATGTAGTCCCGAGTTACTCAGTTGTTGATTTTTATCTGTGCCGCTGCTTCTGTAGCTGAGGCCTGGAGAGGAACAACCCAAGTGCGTTACCGGGTGGTGGGTTTGCGTAGGCCATCCAGTTAAGAAGTGTAACCTTATTATTTCAATGTAGTTTTATTTCTATATTTCAAATGTTTATGAACATCCCCGTTCCCAGCTCCAAAGACAACACCAAGCTTGTTTATTTTTTTTTTTTTAATTTTAGAATGGCTGTCCTCTGTTTACAAACAGCAGTGGTTTGCCATGCTCAGAGCAGAACAGGACAATGATATTGGGTAGGTATATTACAGGCTTTCCTTTATTTATTTCTTAAATTAGAAACCTTCCTCCCATATAAATTCTGACATTATTCACGTTTGGAGTTTACATTAAGAATGGGGGGGGAAGCATACTTCAGTGGTTTTAAACTCCGTTGTTCTCTGTGGAGCAGTCTGTTCCCTTGGGCTGGCCAATTTATCCTTTAAATATCCTTTAAATAGTAGAACTCCAGAAAACTTGTATGATGTGACCAGAGGTAAACGCTGGGGAGGGATGTTCTGTATTTTTTTTATTTGTTAAGGCTGTGAAAGAGTAACTTGTTAGCCTTCTGTTTTAGAGGACTACTTTGGGAAAAGTACTGCAGATGGAGAAGCAGCCTTTTGTACCTTTCTGTACCTCCCTGGGCTAGGTGGGCAGGCGGTTGTGGTGCCATGTAACTAACTCTGTTGGTGTAGAACGCAATTTGTCATTTTTTGTTTATGCAGGGATAACTCCACGCTAACCTTTGTTCCTGCCGCTCCCATCCTAGCCTCCCAGGCAGCAAGTGAGGGCCCAGCACCCAGCAGGGCTTGGCGTCCTGTGACCTGTTCATCTCATCCCCTTCTAATGTCGCAGCCTTCCCCCACCCAGTGTTGATGTTCGATAGCTCTCTCCACTGCCAGCACCTCCAGCTTCTCCCAGGCAGTGCATCCTTCTCCGCTGCTAAGACCTTGTTCTCTCCGTAATCCTCCTACTTTGTGTCCTATCTTTTCTCCTTCCTAGACCACGTGCTGCACGGTGGTGGCATTGCATTGCCATGGAGGAAATCCCGTGGCAACTGCCGTGTTTCTGTGCCCTTTCAAAGGTCTGCGTGTAGCTGCATTTGTGTAACACCCTGACTGGTGTCGGTGTGCGTAGCTGGGTTTCTCGAGCCTGTGCCTAACAAGGGTTGTCAGCGGTGGTGGCTTGGGCAGCGAGGCACGTTGACTTAATGTGCGCTGCATGTGTGTGTGTGATCACAAGCTGTGTCCCTTCCTTCTGCTTGCTTTCTGCCACGTCGCATGGAGCCAAGTCCCTTAATCTCTTTCTAAATACTCAAAACTGTGGCAAAATGCGGCTGGGGGAATTGTTCCTGCGTTTGTCTTCTCTCCTGGTTCTTGGTGTGCTCTGTGGAGAACAAACGTCAGGTCAGGAAGCTGCAAAATGTTTGTTACCTTTCAGCAACCAGTAAACCAACTGCTTTATTTTCTTCCATCAGTTCTTTTAGTCCAGCATTTGCGGTTCTGGAGATGAGCATGTTCGATTGCAATGGTAGGCTTCACTTATTAATTGCAATCTGAAAAGCATAAGAACCGCTGTCCTGGCTTGAACCAAAGGCCGTGCAGTCTGTGGCGGTGTGCAGCAGCAGAGAGTTACAAATCTCCCGTCTTCCTTTAAAGCCAAGAGTGAGTGTTCTCTTGGTGTACTTCTAAGGATTTTCCAGCTGGAGGTTTTGGCTGGATTGTTGCTGAACAACCAACCACCAGTAGACCTGTTCATAAATACCTACAGTTCTTCGTTGAAACAGCTTATGCTTTAGCCCCAACACCCTGAGGCAGTGACTTCCATGGTGTTACTACATATTATGTAGGAAATATAATTACTTCCTTCTGAGGATAACATGTGATAGTCTAAAAAATCCCCCAAACTCTGACTCTGGTCTTAAGAATAGTCAAGATTTTGAAGAAGTGGTTCTCTTTGTCAGTAGAAGTGCTTCAGAAAATGGTACAGTATGTAACTGTGAATCTCACCATTTCAGCTCCTAAAGATTGATGTTGGGTGGTCATAGCTTGTTTCCGATACCGCTGTTTTCTCAGGAAGGCTTTTCTTGTCATGCTGTCATTGATGTATCTAGCAGTAGACAGTCGTACATTGTGTGTTGCCTTCTAGCTCGAATGGGAACCACAGTTAATATGAAAGTGAAGGTTAACATAGTCATCAGAATTCTGACACAAGATAGGACTCTGTATTTTCTTGGTTTTGATGTTGTTTGGTAGCTCGCTGTAATACAGTGAGAGGATTTTGATAGTCAGTCATCAGATATACGTGGTTCTCATACAAAACTGAAGATGATGGGGATCATACCAGCTTTAAAGCGAGCAACTTTCCTGTTCAGCTACACTGCTGATGATTTCAGTGACTGTTGGAATGAGCAGAGTATTTTTCTGCTTTTTTCTTGCTTGTCTAGTTTTCTCTTTGGTAGTATGGGGTGGTTTTGTTTTTGGTAGGCTTTTTTTTGTTTGTTTTGGATTTGTTTTTGTAAAGACAGGAAAAACTGAGGATCTCAGGCAGAGAAAGTTTCATTCAGCAAGTAGACATCTGTTTGCCTGGATCTCTTGTTCTCTGGCATTCATTGCCAAGGTCTCTCACTAACAGCAGTGGTAAGAAGTGGGTGAGATGGAGCGTTTCTTCTCAGTATGTCTTGGCTTCTGACTTTAGTAGTTGACAAACTTACTGGTTCAAGGTGGCACCCAGGTTACTGTTTGTTCAATAGTCGATAATGGACTAATTGTCTTTGAACATGGTGTTCTCCGGAGTTCTGTGGGAGGGAGATGGTGGGGGAAGTGCGCCTGCAGGCGTGGAGTGCTTCCCTCTCGTTACATGCAGCGCAGTTGTAACGTCGCTAGTCCATAGCATAGATAAATGTTATTTCGGGTCCTGAGGTCGCTGCTCTGTCTTTTCCTGGCAAGCTGTGGTGCCGCTCTGCAGTGACATGCCTGTGGTTCGTAACTCGTGTCGTAGAAGGGAAGACATGCAGCTGTTCCTCTGTATTAAAGCAAATAGTTTGGACATTCAGCCAACCTGTAGCTGAAAGAAAAGGATTTGGCTTTTCTAAGACCATCCTTTTATCCAGTTTTGCTGCCCTTCCTCCCCCACTATCAGTATCTTAACACGTTTTTTCCTTGAGAGGGAAGGGTGCAAACTTAGTAAGCCGATTGAAATGTGAAGTCTGACTCCCAGGGAGCTGAAGTAAGGCTCTATTTTCATATCCCACCTGGTGCATAGCGTAATTGCACCTGCTTATTCGAAGACTGCCAACGTGGAAATTACATTGCTTTGAAACGTGTGATGTGGTTTGCTCTTTTGATAACTTTAGAGAGGAGAAGAAAATGTTTCTCTCCTACTTTATGTAGTTTGCATTTAAAAGGACTATACATTCTATTCACTCTTCGGAATTTGAGATTTTTTTAGTGTAATACTAGAGTTTGTGACTTTGAACTGTAGCTGCTCAAAGTTTACTTGTGCTAAAGTGGATCACTTTTTTTTTTTTTAATTAAACATTTGTTCTGTGGCAGATGCGAGACAGATCTTTCAAGTCCATGACTGGAATCGTTTCTACTCTAATAGTCTCTTTGGCAGTGTTTAAGAGCGAAAGAGAATAACCTGACTGTTCACTAAGCATATGGTAGCCAGTGTTAAGTGGTTAAAGCTGGAAGTTTTGCATCTTCTGAAGCTGCTTGAGCAATGGAGAGGGGGGAATACTAATGTCTGTCTGAACAGGACGTATTGATGTTTGTGAAATTTGTCACTAATTAAACAGAAATGAATCTTTTAGCACCATTACTGAATTTAGGTCAACTACATAACCAGTTCAGCTAGAAGATGTGGAAAAGCACACGGGAGGTTCTTGGGTGAATTTGGTTAGCATGATTAACTTATTTGCTTGACTTACTCATAAAATACTTAATCTTCCAGGATTGGTTTTTACAGAAACGGGGAGGGGGGGGAAAGACCACAGACTGAGTTTGTTCGTAAAAGCTATAGCCGCAAGTTCTTGTGGTGTGTGTGCAGTAGGAAGAGAACAGATGCTGGATTTCTTCTCGCTTTTATAGCTTGAAGTATATTGTTTGATATTGCAGGCTTGTAATTTAACTTGCGTGGGGGGGTTGCCTTTCATGGTGATTTATAATACTTTAAGCATTTGTCCTCAGTGTAACTTGAAGACTTTCTGGCAATGGTTGCTTATTTGGTTAATGATGTAATCATGTCTAAAGTTAAGCGAGTAACATACCTCCGGAAAACTGAGACTGATTTTACTTATGCTGGCTCTGCAAGATGTTTCTACGTGTTGAAGCGCCTGTGGAAACTGTTGGGTGAAGCAAGTTCATGTTGGTGTAGGATGACAGACTCGAGGCTTGTGGTACTTCACGAGCACTGTGGGCAAACTGTTTTTAGAGAAGTTGCGTAACCAGCCGCTTGAGAAATCTTTCACGGTGTTTCTGTGGGAGCTTCTTCATGGTGCTGCTATTCTGCAGAGTCCTGCGGCTGTTCTGAGCAGTAGCACTCATGTATGCTTGTGCCTGGGAAGCCAGGACTACTGCGTTTAAAGAGGACTTGGGGTTTTTTAGGAGGATTGGAGAATGTATGTCATTGCAACAGCTATTATTTTCTTACCTGGAAAGGTTCTTTTGTGAAAGTCCTACCTAAGTGAGGTGTCCCAACTTGGTTTATATTGCAGTTTTGTAGAGCAGCTGGATGGTCACGGGATGCTTTGGGTTGGAAGGGATCCTGGGAGGTCATCCAGCTTAACCTCTGCTCAAAGAAGGGTCAGTTATGTGGTCGGACCAGTTTACCAGGGTCTGTTCATCTTTCCCACGTTAAAGTAACATACAAAGCTGTTTTAAGTGTCCTTAAAGATGCACTTTTTTATTTTGTAGGCCTCAAGAAATAAATAAAGAGGAACTGGAAGGAAACAGCATGAGGTGTGGTCGAAAACTTGCAAAGGATGGTGATGTAAGTATGGCATGTGGCAAAGTCCGTGCGTAGCTGACATGTCTTAGACATGTTCAGTATTTTCAAAACACGTAGGTCTTAATTGTCAGACTGCATAAAAAAGATGGAATGGAGATGATACGTTGAAGAAATTACTTTGTTCTCCCTGGAAGGGTGAAAGTGCCTGCTGTCTTTGCCATGAGTGAGGAGTTAGTGTTTTAATTGTGCTCTTACCCTGCAAGCAAGCCCATGTTTGGAAGAACTTTTAGTGTGTGAAAGGAGGGAATGTAGCCGTGACTTATCCTTGGAGACTTGTAAAATCCATGCAGTTAAAATACAGCTCTGCTCTCTGGTGTCTAAAAAAAAATGTTCCGTAGATGTATGTGTGTCTTTAGGTAACAGGTCCTGTGAAAAGACAGGAAACATGAATTTTTTCCCATTGAAGTCACTTAACGTAAGGATGTTGTACTCCAAGGAGTGCTTAAGCGTGGTTAAGTGCTAGTCAGAAATACAGCACCGGTTACCAGAGCGCGGAAGTATTTTAGATCCACTTGTGTTAAAAGTAATTTTGTGTGTTTGCAAGGCAGCTGATCCTGAGCTTGTCTCATGCAGTCATCTGTCTGCAGGGGGTTGGCCGCTGAAGTGAGCGGGTGCCCACCAAGATGCCTGGTGTTTCCAAGAGGTGTTGGCAAGGGTCTTTGAATCCACCGTGCATCTCTGTAGCTGAGAATCCCATTCCCAGATCTGTTTTGTTGGAGAGGTGGCACTTGTTGTTTGTGTTCTAGCAAATACTCAGCCTGGTTTTCTTGGGTTTTTACTTGCGTTCTTCAGTACTGCTGGCGGTGGACTGGGTTCAACTTTGGCTTTGACCTGCTTGTTACTTACACAAATCGTTACATCATTTTCAAACGGAATACGCTGAATCAGCCATGCAGCGGATCCGTCAGCCTGCAGCCACGGAGAAACATAGCCTTCAGGTAAACAGTACCCAGCAAGGCAGACCCTGTGGTGTATGCTGAAATGTAGTGCCTTAACTGAGTCTTTCCGTCGGTGCTTGCATTAAATTTTGTTGCCACTAAGTCAGTTACGTTTGAAAACATCATTCTTTCTCCCTGGGAGAAGCTCTTTGTGCTGGAGAAACTAAGTTATGGGAGACTAAGTAATTTAACTGTTGTTATATCCCTAGGTTACGTCTAGCCTCTTTTGATAGCAGTGGGAAAATTATTTGCAGTCGAACGACGGGATATCAGATCCTAACCCTTGAGAAGGACCAGGTATGTCTGTGGATTTTTGAGCTGTTGAACTTGAATTGTGGAGTCCAAGGCATGAAAAAAATGCTGAGAAGTCAACAACGCTTTTGAAGAGAAGTTGTTCTTCCTGTTGTCATTGCTAATGTGGAATTTCAAGTGTTCCTTCTGAAGATAGTGGAAGATTCAGCTAATTTGCGAAGTGTAACTAGCGTAGGGTAGCACGGATTTCGTAATGTTGGCAATAGTGAGGTTAGTTCCCATGGTGCTGCTGGAGCTACCTGCTGCTAGCGTAGTGTTCTGCTGGACGACTGCTCGCTTTCCCAGACTGCCAGCGCTGCCGAGATTGCCCGTCTGAATAATACGTCCGTCAGACTCCTGCTTGTTTAGAGGCAAATTTGGAGTTTGTTTGAAGACTCTCTTGTATTGTAAGCTGAAGAGTTAAAAGAATGTCTGCATGTTGTTCAAGGGTGGTATTTGTTACTCTATTTAAAAAAAAAAAGCCTCAGAGAGGAGGGGAGTTTTCTGAAGAGAACGTGCCCTCTTCCACCTGTCTGTGACAGCAGAATTCAGTGAGGAATGCGAGAGACTTGATCATCAAGTTTCTTAAACGCTGCTCAGCAGCGGTGTGTAGGCAGTGAGTACGTAGAAAACTTTTCCTTGTAAATGCTGTCCTTACTGCAGGATAAAGTTTCACTTGTGCTGCACCGAAACCAGTTCCTAGAGTAAAACCGAAAAATTCCTGCCAACAAGCCGTAATTTGCTTTAAAGTACAGACTGTGACTGACTGCCTGCTTGGGTGAACCCCTGAAACCGATGGTGGCCGAAAAGCCTCCCTTTCTCTCCAGCGCGCTTGAAGGTCGAGTTTGCTCAGCCATTTCTTGGGGTTCGGTTGTCTTTGATGCAGAAGGGTTGGCAGCACTGGGTCAGAGGGTTTTAAGCATTCTGAGAATATCTCACCAGATACTATAAAGGATCTGCTTAAGGCGAAAGTGAATTACTATGCTGGGGTTTTTCTGTATCTTCTGCTTTTTAATATATATTACAGAATGACTGTTAGTATCGATCGTGTGTGCTTTTTGATGTACTTCCCTCTAACGGCATCCCTTCCTATGCGAATGTTTGCTCTCCAGGAGGAGGTAGTAATGAATTTGGACAGTAGACTCTTGATCTTCCCGCTCTATATCTGCTGTAACTTCTTGTACACATCGCCAGAGAAGAAGGCTGACGGTGAGGCGCTGCCAGACAACTCGGAAACCTGAGACCTCTTCAGTGGAATAGAGTAGCACTTCTGTCGCTCTGTATGCCTGCTTGAAGTTCAACGCCCTGCTGACGCACAGAGCTTTGACAGCGGCAAAGGCCTTACACTGTAGCAAATATATATATATATATATGGCCTTAGTATACTCCTATGCATATCTGAAGAGAAGATCAGAAATTATACAGGCCAAAACTAATTATCCCCATATTTTATTTTGTTTCTGTTCGACGTCTTCAGACAGTATCCATTCCGTGTTTGAGAAATGTTACACTTTTATTTTTCTGGGCAAAAACTGAGCCAAACTGGAAACAGAGAATCTGTGTGAACGACATCTTACGAACTTACCTGCCAGATTCTGAGCACACATCGTAGGACGCGTGGGTTTTGTTAGTGTGGTTTTTCAGGTTTTTTAATAACTGATCTGTAAATACCAGATCCATGTCCTGCTTACTCTTGTGGTCCTTCTCCGCTGGGGCCAAACAGATCTGTGTCAATGTTGCCTGTCGACTTCTGTTAGTTATTTAACTGTACAGCCTTTCAGACCTGCTTGGTTTTAAGCCTTTACTGCATCTCGTATACGTACATTTCTTTCTAGTTCTTGTTTTTTTTTTAACATTGCAGCAAATATTTATCTTTTTTTTTAGCACGTGCATTTGCTAGTAAAGATGCTCGCCAGTGAATTTTTTTTTTCTCCATGTACTGAAAACGCTCTAGTGTACTCGCCATCGTTGGAGTCTGTTCTACAGCAGCAGCTTTCAGCTAGGATTCTACTGAGTGCTCACTGTACTCACCTGAACCAAACAGCCGTTTTTAACCATTGTTTTCTTGTGATTTGTTTTTACATTGGGAATATATCCCGTTTTAGCTCAGGAACTTGTGACCTTTGAGTGCCTTTTGAGTTGTATGTGTCAACACAAACTTCGCATCAGTTAAGCGAGGTCACAGGATCCAAAGTAAGAGCTGGGAACAAGGGATTCCTTTTCACTTGGTTTGACGAAGGAGTCGTGTGCAAGAGGGGCACTGCATTTGTTCTTTGTGTGTGTTGGGTTTTATGTTTGTCTGTTGCAATTTTGAATTCTTCCAGCAGGATTTTTGGATTCCAAGTGGGAATTTTGCCTCTCAAGTAGCCTATTTTTTTAACGTTGTCAGACAAGTATAAAACCATTTGTACTTTATAACAAGGATAAAAATGGATGATGGAGAAACATGGCAACTTGTCAATAAACGATTACCAGTGGAATGCTGATGAGCGTCTGTCCCTTCTCTGCCACGGAGAGCTTTTTCTCTTGGGTTCAGCCCGTGGATGCACCGCTGTGTAACCTTCCCTTGTGCCATGCTCCTTGGGAAGCAGAAAGCAGAAGCATTTTAAGGCATTCATCTGCTACAGCATCGAACTTGGTATTTAGGTACCTGAATAAGCAGTTTTTCTGTTTTTAACCAGAAGTACCAAGTCTTTAAACCTATCGTTGATTCAGCGGAAAGAAAAATGGCCTGCGTGTTAATGGCAGAAGAGAATGGGGATATAAAAACAGTTTTTTAAGTAGTTCTAAGGTTGAAATCTAAGCTTTGGTGGTGGGTTGAGCTGCTGCAGGGCTCCTGCTTTGTGCTGAGAGCTTAGCACCTCCAGTTTTCCTGCTCTGCCCTTGCACCCTGCTGGCTCCCAGGGCCCCTGCTCGCCCCGC